GGCTATAGACAGCCTGGTTCGGAAAAAAAAAAGAAAAAAAAGAAAGAAATGAGGCCTTATTCAGAGAACTGGAAGAAGTCTCACATTCCCAGGCTTTGGTTCTCATGGGTAACTTTAACCACCCTGATATCTGCTAGAAGGACAACACAGCAGGGCACAAGCAACCCAGGAGTGCATTGGTGGCCACTTCCAAACACAGGTGATTAAGGAGATGCTGGATCTCATAGATACAAACAAGGAAGAATGGCTCAGAGATGTGAAAGGTGGTGGAAGTCTTGGTGGCAACAACCACAAGGCAACAGAGATCAGGAGTCTTCAAGAAGAGAGCAAAAAGCAGGATCACAGTCCTGGTCTACAGAACTGGCTTTGAAGAGGCTTTGACCTCTTCAGAATGCTGTTTGAAATAATTCTATGGGACATAGCCCTCGATAGAAGAGGGGTCCTAGAGATCTGTGTGATTTTCAAGGATCACGTCCTTCAAGCTCAGGCACAGTCCATCCCTGAAAACTGGAAATGAACCAAAGGCAGCAGGACGCCTGTGTGGATGAACAAGAAAATTCTCATTAAAATATATAGAGGAAGTATACAAGACGTGGAAGCACAGAGAAATGACCCAAGAAGAATATAGGAACACTGAGCATATGCTGTTGGGGTCAGGAGATTTGGAGTCCACCAACTTCAATGGTTGAAACTGGCAAGGGACATTGAGGGTAACAAGAAAGTCTTCTCCATCAGCAGCAAGGGAAATTTTTGGGAAAATGTGGGCCTGCTGCAAAAAAGAGGCAGGGCCTCCAGTGACAAAGAACACCAAAGGCAGAAGTCCTGAATGCCTTTTTTGCTTCAGCCTTTACTAGTGTGAAGGAATTCCAGAAAGCAATGAAGCCCTTGCTCAATGGAGGTGGAGGATCGGGTTAAAGGACACGAACAACCAGACATGCACAAGTCCACAGACCAGGAAGACCGACCTTAAGTGCTGAAGGATCTGGCTTAGGTGACTGTGAAGCCACTCAGGATTATCTTTGAAAGATCATAGCATTCAGGAAAGATTCCTGCGGCCTGGGAGAGCACAAGGTCACCCCTATCTTCAAGAAGAGTAAGACGCAGGATCTGAGGAACTGCAGGACAGTTAACCTCATCTCAGTCCCTGGGAAGGAAATGGAGCAACTAATCCTGGATACTAGATAGTCTTTCCAAGCACACAGAGGACAGGAAGGTATCCGGAGTCATCAGCATGCATTTATGAAACAGAAATCATGCATAATCCACCTGATAACTTTCTAGGATGAGGCTTGGCAAATGAGGGAGAAGCAGTGAATGTTGTTGTTTGCTTTGACTTTAATAAGGCTTTCGACACCACCTAAGCTGAAGAAGCACAAGCTACTGAGAACGACTGAAATCTGGCTGAATGGCCAAGTTCAGAGTGTTGTGATCAGTGGCAAAGTCCAGCTGAAGGGCAGTCACTAGTGGCACAACCCAGAGGTCAATACCGAATCCAGTACTGCTTAACCTCTTCACTAATATGACACACAAGGGGACAAAGGGCACCCGCAGCAAGGTTGCTGATGATACAAAGCTGTGAGGAACAGCTGATAGACCTGAGGGCTGAACTGCCGTTCAGAGGGACCTCAAGAGGTTGGAGAGATGGAAACTCATGGAGTTCAGTAACAGAGGAACCTCACAGAGCTCAGTAACAGAACGGCAGAGTCCTTCACCTAGGGAAGAATAACCCCATGAACCAGTATAGGCAGGGGACCAACCTGCTGGAGAACAGCTCTGCAGAGGAGAACCTGAAGGACATGATTTTGATCATGAGCCAGCAATGTTCTCTCATGGCAAATGTGGCCAACAGTCTCCTGGGCTGCATAAGGGACTGCATTGCCAGCAGGTTGAGGGGGATGTTCTTCCCTTCTAGTCAGGCATGTCTGCAGTGCTGGGTCCAGTCCTGGGCGCACCACAACAAGAGAGACATGGACACGCTAGAGCGAGTCCAGCCAAGGCCACCAGACGACAAAGGGACTGTAATATGAGGAGATACTGAGAGAGCTGGGACTGTTCAACCTGGGGAATAAAAGCTTAGAGGGATCTTAACAATGTGTGTAAATACGGGAGGATGGGAGTGTCTATCAAAAAAGATGAAGCCAAACTCTTCTCAGTGGTGCCCAGTGACAGGACAGGAGGCAACAGGTACCAATGGAGACACAGGAAGGTCCATCTAAACGTAAAACACTTTCTCACTGTGAGGGTGGCAGCAGCAGAACAGGCTGCCTAGAGAGAATGTAGAGCCACCATCCCTGGACATGTTCAAGTCCCCAGATAGATACCATCAGGGGACGCTGCCTGAGCAGGGGAGTTAGATTAGAAGGTCTTAAGTGCCCTGCAGCATCAACTGTTCTGCAAATCTGCCCCAGCAAAGTCAGAGCTGCTCTACTTACACTGTCCCCCACAGCACATGGACGTAGCTATGACTGCCTCAGTCTGACAATGACCCTGCTGAAGATCAGCAAAAAAACGGGATGTGGGTCAAAGACTTTTCACTGTTACTTCCTCTACCTACAGGTAGTGGTTAGGAGTAAGTGCTTGCCTTCTCTAGCAAAGGGGGCAGAAGTGTGGTGTTTTTAGCACACAGAAAAGGGAAATATAGTCCTGCCATTTCCCAAAAAAAGAGGAAACGCCTTTCAAAGGAAGGGCTGTCCCTAAAAGGGCAAGAAACTTGAAAACCACAAAGTGCAGCTGACAAGCAGCTTCACACATGACCAGGATGCTTATTGTACATAATGACTCTCTACTGCCTTGATTTGTGGGTTTTTTTTTCTTTTTTTCATTTTATGAAAGGTATCACAAAATGCAAAAAACGATCACAAGCTTCTTTGAAAAAAAATGTACCCTGTCTTCTCATCCCAGAATCCCATTAATAGGCTATGGGTTTCACATTAAACAAGACAGATACTTCTAAGACTATTTCATCAAAAGGAAACTAGTGACTTGGCATCAGTTTGAAACTTTTATTAAAACCATAGGTTTCCATTCCATACAAAACTGAGGAGCTTTCTTTTTTTAAAAAAAGTGTTTTACACTGCATTACTTCTGATGTGGTTAAGTGGTTCATTGATATAAGTCTTTCTGAAAGTTATATACAGGATTAATACCACACAACTGTATAAATGCAGACTCTCAGTAACTTTAGCAATATATACAAACTACCTTTACACACATAAATATGGTATATACAGCTAATAAATAACATTCAAAGCTAAATCATGTGTCCTCACATACAAGAACCTTCACTCTTTGATGACCAAATACTGTATGTGTTTGTATTAGATCCTGTATTAAAAGCAGACCTGTTTACCCAAGTTTTGTTTCCAAAGAATCACAAATCTTAGGAGAAAACTGCAAAAAAAAAAAAAGTTAAGTCTGTATGGAACAAATCACTGTATTTATTTTTAGAAGTCTTAAATGCAGTGGCTCAATACTCAACCCCTCCCTCAGTGACTCATCCTATCTCTGTTGTAGCTGTTGATTTAGGAAACCAAATGTGAACAATGTTGGAGTTATTAATATTCAAACTATTGCACTGTCTAGAACTTTTGTCCCTATATGTAACAATAGCCATGGCTAGAAATATATATATATATATCTTTATATATGTGTATGCATATTTGTGTCATCATTGTTTTAAAGTTGGAATGATGTTGGAGAATCATCAGCTTTGTACCATCTTGCACACGTGGGAAAAGACTGTGAAAGTCAGCATCAATAGCTCACATCATTACCACTTCTCCAAGTATCTACCTTCCAGCCTTCCCGCATCCCCAGTATTTTTTTTTTTATCCCCTGTAAAGCTAAATGAAGACTACGAACCTTTCAGGGTACTAGAAAAAATACATGTCAAAAAAAAAAAAAAAAAAAAAAAGAGAGAGACAGGAAGAAAGGTCCAAAGCCTTCATTTCACCTATTTTTGGCTACTCACAGCATGTCTAATTCAAGTGTTTTTCAGAGCACTTATTTTTGTGGGTCACACAGCCAGGTGCCTTTCTGCTGTCCCAGCTCCTGCTCCTTGCCGAATCCCACCTCTTGTTAGAAAACCAAGCACCTCCCAGCATCTGGCACCAACTCTGCAGCCCCACCACAAACACTGGAAATCAGGTTTCCAGCACAGGGGAGCGTGACCAGAGCTTGTCAGCTGTCAGGTTGATTTAGGGCCAAACCTGATACAGCTACCACTCAGCTACATGACTGACGTGAGGTGTCGAAGAGCAGAGTAGCTGTCATGGTTTTAGCATCAGGGATGCAAACAAGGTGAAAAGTCCATTTCCTGCAGTCTCTGGTAGCTTGATTCCTTTGCACTTCCTAACTCGGCGCAGTGTTGGAGGTTCGATGGTTTCATTTTTTTAAAGAGATGAAAGCATGGATGATCAATACAATATCTGCATAGGACACTGGTACTGCTGTCTTGTCCTACAGCTGGGTATTTATTGCAGGATAAGCTGCATTATAACGCATTGCTTAACAGATCATACCTATTGATAAGCAGCACTGGCATCTACCCCCAGTGTAACACATTCATAACCACAAACTAAAAAAATTTATCCCCATATTCAGTCCCTGACATCTTTGAGTAATAGCATTAAAAATAGGAAAGATTTTTTTCACATAAGAGATCTACTTATTTGCTAAACACACACTTGAAGACAATGAGATCTGGCCACTGAACTTTCAGAAAATTCAGTTAGCCAAGCAAGAAAAAAAAGAAAAACACACAACACAGAAACAGAAACCCAAATCTGTTCAGTTTCAGAATACTCCTGAAATACTATATCGGTTGGAAAGAAAAGCCACATACAAGGCTTTACTTCTTTTCAATAAATATTAGAAAATTACTATAGAGGATTTGATATCAAGAAACTTTGTCACGAGGCACTATGATTAAGCAAGATTACTTATTCCTCCTCAGTACTCAAGCTTTTGGCAAGTTGTTTTGGCAAGTTTTTTTTTTTTTTTTTTTTTTTTGACTATTTGAATATTTCATCTTTATGGTTAGTAACAACTTTCTGCGTGCTGAGACTTCCTTACAAAAAGTCTCCTAGAATAGCTAGAAATAGTAGGCAAAAAAGCCAGCAGCAGATAAATACTTCTATATATTTGGTTTTGAACACCCATTTCACTGGGATGAATAGACTCTCCTCTTGCCCAGTGTGGAAAGAAATCTCCATTCTTGTAGCTTCTAGGCAGATTCATGAGCAGAATTTTCTTTAGAGGCTTTCTTGGCACTGCAGAGGAAAAAGAGGACAGATAAGATGAAGAAGGGATTCTTGTTCCTTTTTGTCTTTTTTTTTTTAAAAAAGACTTAAAGTTCAAAAATATGGAAAATAAATTAAGTACTTGGGCTTTCAGTGACTGCTGCATGATATAACTCAGGCCTGTTTTACAGGTGCACTGTCAGTAGTCAAGGGGGTCTCAAGGCCTCACCAGGTCATTGCCCTGGAGGGAAGGTCAGCACATACGTCTTTTTGTGCCGAACTAGATCTCAGTTCATAAGTGTCCCCATGACACCTCTCTCCCATAGCAACTGCAACTGTAAAATAAATACAACCACTTCTCCAGCTCAAACTTTAGTGGATAAAGTCCAAAGAAAGCCAGCCCATTTTTGAAAGTTTACTCTGGGTCAGGAAAAAGAGAAAAAAAATTAAATAGATAAGAAAAAACCATCAGTGGCTTATTAAACACAAAGATGGAGTCTTCAATGCAATTTGGAGGCAACTCTCAGGAAGCCACTCACCTGGAGGTTGCCAGCAGCAAGAATATCTGTGTTCGCCCGTTTGGCTTTTCTACTGCCCTTCAAATCTGCTGCTGGCCAATGGGAAAAGGGGCTCTGGATTGACTCAGCGTGGGTGTTTGGATGCCCTTGAATTAGGGGTAAATGCAGGGCGCCTCTAGAAAGAGGCCAGTGAGGAGTGCCATGTTTGTAGACCCTGCACAGCAATCGTTGGTGCTTGTCCGCTGTGTCAGCGTGGGAGGCAGTGAGGTGTATTTGCTTTGGAGAGGTGCAAACAACCACAAAAGGAGAGAACCAGTTTGAGGGCTTTCAAGATGCCAAAGCAAACCCCTAGTTAGTCAGAGCTGTGATGCTCTCCAAGTCTTCACCAAAGTGGCATAAAAGTCAACCAGTATTGGGAGGTCTTACAAAAGTGTCTTATCTCCGCAGAGATTCATTCTTCTGCCATTCAGTTCCCCACAACCCTAAGGTAATACTGCTGATACATACCCTCCTCTTTTCCTGTTGGCCGGCTGCTCCATGCATTTCACAAATATCGCTGCTTCTTCTCCCTTACCGAGGTGCGAGATGCCGTCTCGGGAGCAGAACACCACCCTGTGGAATAAACACCATCAGTGACACCACTCAGGCAGGATTTTAACCATACGTATGACGATACATACAATACTAACTTAATTATATATATATATATATAAACTCTAGGAAGAGAATCCACGCTTGAGGGCAGCCTTTATGCATATGTCGTGTGGGGCACTACTGCCTTATGTGCCAAATCACGGGGAGAAAATAGTTCTTCTACAAAGCAGGAAGCATGGATCTTGTGAGGGAAGAACCAGCCTACCAGAAAAAAATGGTAAATGCATTAAGCATAGAGCTAAAATTGCAGGCATAACTTTAGTGCTTTGCATGGAACCTCCCAGCAGCTGAGAGAAAGGCTCCTCTGGTCTCCTGGATCCATGATTACATCGGCCCTCGTGTGACTTTCGCCTCAGGTGACTGATCTTGGAAGGCAGCCTTGCTCCCTGGATGTTTGCAATTAAGGCAGGCAGCCAATTCCAGCAAACCTCAGCGGCTGCTTTTATACTTATCTGTACTTCCCCCACCCCTTTATTTGTTCACCCTGATAACTTTTTTTTTTTTTTTAAATAGAAGTGATTGCCCTGCTTATTCAAGGAAGGAACATATTACCTGCCAACAATTTTCCTGACTAATGAATTTGATTCGAAGGATTCAGGAGAAAAACAGTCTAGTTCAGAGTATGACTACTATTTTAATATTTACATATTGGCAGTGTCTTATATGCCTTCAACAGAGTCATATGTTTCTGTTTCCACTGACTATTCAGGGATTCCCAGCTCCAAAGAATTCCAAATTAATGAAGCAACCATTTCCTGTGCAAATACAGTTTTGGAAAGGTCTCTGAAAGTCTCCTAAGTGTGTTCTCTCAAGAGAACTTGTAGAAATGTCCAATAGGAGAAAGGAGGGAGCAACTGCAAATTCAGTCAGAACTTACAGTTTACAAAGGTCCTCCGGTATACTATAATTAACCTGAAACACATCAGATGGTGGGATGCAAATGAATCCCGTGGGAGTAAAATTACAGACTGCAGATCCCAGGGGAACAAAGCAACTGCAAACCCAGCTGAGGTAAATATGGCTTTAGTGCCACGGAAGATTTCACCGTCAGTGCTGCACCCATTTGTAATTGCTTGTCATGTTTTATCCCACACTCTCAGGAAAAAAAGGGGAAAAAAAAAAAGAGCAATTAAAACCAATACTTTGAGACAATGAAAACGAGTTACTTTTTCTGAGTTTCTCCTGACTTTACTCTGACTCTCTGGATGTCAAATGTAAAAGGAGTCCACCAGTCAGACCAGCTGAAGAAAGTGTCTTTCTCCCACTGCAGCTTTAGCATGAGCAGGTCACCAATATCTACTTCTGTGTAAATCAGGAAGGAGAATGTCTTGTTTGAAGAAACCTCAGGCCTGTGAGGAGGGAAAAAAAACACAAAGAGGTGGGAACTATTGCAAAGACTGTAAGAGCCGACAAGACTAACAGGTAATATTAAAAGTGAGCTATGGAAAGATTGGTGGGATGGGAGTTATGTAGGAACAAAAAAAAAAGGAAATGAAGGGGAAAAATTGTGAAAAACAGGACTTTATGTACTTCAAGTGGGAAAGGAAAAAAACTCTTCTCTATTTCTAGTCAATGGATCAAGCGAAAATTCCAGGTCACATTCTGATTTTAAGCAGCTTTAACACAGCGGGAGCATGGCACAACAGCTTAAAAAGGAGAAAAGTGGCAATGTCTTTGATCACTGACAAGATCCAACCCTGGAAACCTGCAAGGACAGATTTCCATAGCTGGAGCTAGAAAAACAAAATTATCAACCAGGGCTTTAAGAGATTTGGGCTGGACACAGCAGTGGGGTAGCATAACACGGGGGCATCAGTCGCACTGCAGTGTTTTCTGTTGCTACTTACAGTGTGAAAGCAATGTTCTCACTCTCATCCTGAGTGCCATACAAAGAGATCAGGAAAGGCTGGTTTGTCTTGGTCGTATTCGTCTTCCCAAAGAAATGGATCTTGACCTGGTAATGAAAGACTGGAGGAAGAACACAAAAGAAAAGGTTATTATGAAAAAGCTGAGAGCTCCAAAGAGATAATACTAAGGACTAAACACTTAAAAAAAAAACCCTGTGCAAATCCTAGTCTGGAATATGACAGCCCCACTACACTGAGGATGTTTGTGGATATACAGAGAAATAGTTTTCTGAGGAGGTAAAATTTTGGAGGCAAAGACCTTATAGCTGAAAATCTTTGCAATGCTTGTAACTAAACTTAATGTCTAGCTGAGTGGAAACTCAGTAAACACGGAGTCTGCAGGATGGCCTTCAAACCTGTTGTAAATGTGCATGACGTAATTTGAATCAAATGAACTGTGTCCTTCTCCTCATACAGGAGCTTGGTAAAGTAAATTCAACCTCGTGACACTGCAGATTAAGTGCCAAATGCCAACAGAAGACTATTCTTGCATCTCCCCCAACTCTGCAAGAATTTTCCCGTCTGATTACTGGGCCATCACACCGTTCCTCTCTGCTCACAATACAGGCAACAAGGCCATGTGGCACAGTCAAAGACAGAGAAAAACAGAAAAAAAATAAAAAGAAAGCACAACTTAATAGTTATTTCTCTATCCTGGAAGCTTTCCAGTTTTGTCACTATCTTTCTCAGACCTGCCACTGTTGCAGTGGAAATCAAGAAGTGCTGTGAGATTTCAGTGTAAGGGATGGTGCTTCTCTGGCCAGAGGCAGTATGAAGGGCAAGAGTCTGACAGCTGCACATCTTAAGTTACTCATGAGGCTGAGTTTCATTGATTGTTTCCCCAGCAGGAGGAAAAACTCATGGAGGAAAAAAGTACTGGAAAAATTCAGAGGACTCATTTGTTCCAAGTGCAGTCACAGTCCCAGCTGCACAGTAAATCATCTTCTCATTTTGTCACTTTAAAAGTTTGTTACAAAACGTTTCCCTCTTCATCTTCCACACAACAAATTCCATGCTATAAATAAAGTCACACTGCTTTTCAAAGGCTGCTTTTAGCTGCTCTTTGTAGCAACATCCAGGCACCAAAGGCATTCCAGGCATCAAGAAGCATTATCATCTGGAGCACAGACCTGCTCCTACATGGATCTGAACACAACCACCACTCTTGCTCACCAATAATCAGGCAGGACCTACCTTTATAGGGCATCTGCGCACGAGTCTTCAAGTACATTTTGGTGTTTCTCTTCGTCCTCACTCTGTTGACCTTATACCCCAAATTGTTGCAGCGGTTCTTCCGGCAGCTCAGGCAGAGGCCCTTCTCAAAGGCCTCCTTCGTGTTGCACCGATAAGCCATGCTGGGCTTCTCTTCGTAAAGGAGGGAGTCGATGAAGAGGTGAATGGACCGTTCATGAGAGCATTTCACTAGCTGATCCACATCTTCAAAGAAAAAGAAACACACATTATATATAATATTTTATTCATATGTTTGTGTATACATGGGTATGAATGTGTATAAAAGTAATGACATAAAAATGTCAGCGATGTCATCAGTGGGCAAAAGTCTCTGTTCCAAAACTGGGATTTATATGGAGAGTCTTAAAGGCCCCTAGAAGAACAATTTCTTGTGTCTCTTCAGAGGATCCCTGCTAGCAGGAAGCCCAAGTGCTACTGAGGATCCCTCTCTAGGTCCTACCCTGCTTGCTGCGAAGCAGTCTTACCAGCAAAACCCTTTTCTGCAATCAGACGAAGAGCCTCTCCCAAGTTGCAACCCGGCTGGAAACCTCCCCCGTTGGGATAGATGTCGATGTGTCCGACCGGCTTCTGGATGCCGATGCTGCGATCCGGAGAGCCCCGCGTGTAGGTGTGCAGGACGTCCACGAAGTCCGCGTCGTCCGGGGAGAGGCGCGTGGGCGCGTCGGCGTACTCGAAGGTGGGACCAGCAGGATCCAGACCTTCACGAGGAAGCCACAAGAACAGCACTGAGATGGCAGCCTGCCAAAATACCAAACTCTGCGACTGGGCTGGAGTTTTTCTTAAATGGTGTTGCTGCAGCAGGCTCATTTAAGTAACATTCGTGCATGCAGGAGGATCAAACACCCTAACTTAAAATGCTGTCACTTTTTTTTTTAGGAAGGTATATGTAAACATATGTTCAAAAAATGCAGAATTAACTTCTCCAGGGCTGTAGTGTTTATAGTAAATGGGAGAAACTAGGTAATAAATATTTTCTCAGTGTTATTCTGCCTTGTCAAGGCATGCACATCTTAAGTTGTAAAACATTTCCGTTTGAAGTGTCTGAAGTGTGGAAAATGTTTTGCCGCTAGCTCTCTGCCAGGGGGACAAGCAGGGAACATAAATGAGTTTGCACGCCTGAAGGGGACGGGAACACTGTGGTACGCTTCCAACTTCCAGCGACACTGTAGCATCAAAAACATTCACTGCTATTCTGCCAGAAAATAAAAACCTACATTCATCAAACAGCCACAAGCATCTTCTGTTACTGCATGAGCCCTCCTGTCAGGACAACACGCCTGGGACACGGCTGCACATAGAGCTGTCCCCACGGGATGTGACCTCCCTGTACAGCTCCAATGGGACCAGCACTCAGGTAAGACCATCCTGAGCGTTTTTGTTTAGTAATCTGCAGCGGATCTGCATTCTGATTCTGGTTATTTGTGCATGGTCTCCTTGAGCTGGTATGCTGGTATACCTTGTGGAAGCAGCTGTTGGCCAAGAGCCCTGCAGGTAGGACACCTACTGCAGGAGGACCCTGTTTGCTTGGGCCAACCCCACCAGTGTGAAGAGGTGGCTTCTGGCTCAAAAACAGCTAGCTGGAGTTCTTGTGCTGCAAGAGGCAGCAACCTTCTATGAGCCATGGGTCTGCCCAGCTTCTGTCACATCCCCCCAGCTGGTTTCTCCTCGAGGTTACTGACTCCCTGCCTACTCGCTCATTTCCAGTGCACAAGGAAATTGAGATTTCTCACCCACCACCTTCGTTCTCTGCTCTCAAGCTTTTCCCATTCCAATATACAAACTATCAGCCACACTGATTGAGGGCAGAATGAACATATAGCCTAAGCACTGCCAACAAGCAACAAGTATTCTGCTGACCTCCTGGGGGAAAGCAACATTTCAGCTTCTGGAAGGAATAGGCAGGTTTTCTCACCGGTAATTCTGTTGACCTTCTTCTTGGTCAGACTCCCAGCAATCCCGGCTGCATGAGCACCCAGGCTGTACCCCAGCAAGTGGACGTTGTTGACAGGGTACTCAATTTCCTCCTGGGGAAGAAAGCTTTCTTAAAAAAGTTTGAATTCAAGTCTGACAACATCAAGAGATGCAAAGATGCTGGGTTGGGAGAAGAATGTTATCAGAAAAAAAAAAGGAAAAAAAAGGAGGGGGGGATTTCCTCTGTTAATTGTAGACAAGAGTAGAGAAAAACAAACAAACAAACAAACAAAAAACCCACTAAATACAGTTAGCATCATTCTGTTTTACCTAATTTGAGTAACTAACTTAAGACAAAAATCTATGCAGAAATGAATGCAGAATTAAGGGCAGAACACAGGACAAATATCCATGAATACTTTTTTTTTACTGAAGCAGATGTAGTGCTGTATTCTATCAAAGCTTTCCAGGTTTCCCCTGACACACACCAATTTCTGGATCCCCTAAGTACTCCCCAAAGGCAGGATAGACTTCCAAGTGAAGAGAGCATGTGCTGGTTGCTGTATAATCTATTGGAATGTGTCTTTCAGAGCTACTCTCACAGAGCCTTGAGCAACAATGTGTGGATCCAGAGGGCTTCGCAGACCACAAGGTGAAAATCTTCAGGCTCTTATATCAAGGGCCTTCTTGTGTGGAAACAGCCACAGAAGGAAACCCAGGATTTTATCAGTCCAGCAAAGCACGGTCTAAGGCAGCTCAACCTCATCTATCCTATGGGAGCCTGTAGCTGCATCACTGGTGCTTTGTCTCCTCGGACATTATATATATGTGTGTGTATTGTGTGGCACATGTGACTGCACCTCTTACCTCCATCCAGTCAATGAACGTAGCGACATCCTGTCCCACCAGCTTAGTGTAGGCAGCAGACACCGGGTAGTGCTGCTGAGCCCGAGTGAGCCAGTCAACCACAATGACGTTGGAGTCAGGTTCCCTCTTGTACAGAGCGCTCACCAGCTTTGGGACCCAGCTTTCATACATTCCTGTCACCTTGTTCAAAAAATAATTAAAAATATATATATATAGCAATATTTATTGGCAAACAAGGCACATCTGCTAAGACACCTAACACTGCCCACCAGGAATGCGGATATTCCTAGGAGGGACATCTCTCCCCTTCCTTCTTACCGTCCATCCATGGATCACCACGAAGGTTTTACTGGTGTAGTTGAAGTTGCAGTGTGCCAGGGTTTCCACCTGCCCAGGAACCAGGTAGCAGGAGTCCTCGTCAGGCTCCTTGGCTGTCCTCAAGGAAAACTTGCTCTCAATTCCCTCAAAGTTCTTCTCAGCTTCTGCAGTGCAAGACCATAGGAAAGAGAGATTGGGGTTTTAGAAGTATTAAGGCAAACAGTTCTGCTACAGGAAGACTGACAGTAAGTGAAGAACCATCACTGGCATTATGTTGGAAAAGCATCAGAAAACAGGGAAGAAATGGGCATTTGGTTTTCATTTGCCTCAGTGCTCCATTTGCACCTATATAAAAAGGAAAAGGCTATGTAAAAAGGAAAACGGTGTGAAAGCTGCTCCCACCCTAATGCCCTAATTCTGCTGAAACAGGGAGAGCCTGGTCAGCTGTCAGATACATATAATTTCAACTCAGGAGTCAGTATTTTCTCTACTGTATTATTAATAGGAAGCCTGTGAATCACCAAAGTGTTACAGAAAGCTATACCCGAGTGCTGTCATATATGTGGGAAAGCAGTAAGTTCCTGCCACACTACAATACATTTCAGTGGCACATTCTCCACATCCCTTCAGCACTAATCACTCCTCAACAAGGCTCTTTTTTAGTTGCAGTCCATCAGAGGTAACAGCTGTAAACACACGGTTTTCTTACAGAATACCAGAAAACAGCAGGTAAGAATATCAAAAGCACTTTAAGGGAAGTTGACTGAGCTAGCAAAGCAGAAATCTGTGTTTTGAAGGCAGTATTATCTCAGCTCATCTAATAATCAGGTTTTGAGAGGAATCTTCCCCTGTCTGAAGAAGTTTTGAATCCAGAGTAGGGAAATATTATGCAACACAGCACGTGGTGGGCTGTGCCTGAAAGGATCACTTATTTCTCAGTGCACCCGCTCGACTTTCCACATTCAAAATATAAATTGCTCTTTTTGTTACTGACTTCAGATTTTTCTGCTTGCTGAGTTCTTTGTCTGGAAGGAAACCTAAATGCCTCCTCTTTTTAGGTCTGATTCAACAGGCAAGCACCTCTCTTCAGCAGAACCTGTAATTAACGATGGACTTAGGCATTCACTCCAATGCTTTCTGAAACCAGGTCCTGCTTCAGCAACTTCCACTTAGCAAATACTGATCTCCTGTTTTCCAAGTGCAGCTGAACCTGGGCCAACCGTGCCCTGCTCGGTGTTGCTTTCTGGCATCCTCCCCTCTGAGGTTTCACAAGCTCCTAAGGACACCTCAGCCAATGGCTCAGAGCCATCACATGCAACATCGTAGAGGTACAAGGTGAGATGCTCCTGCATGCACAAACACAAAAAAAACCCCAAAAAAAACAAGCAACAAAAATAGCCTATCCATGAGTTGCTTAAAGTGGCCTGAGCCCATGGGGACCTGCCAAACGCAAAGCTTACGCATAGGCTTGAGGTGAACTGATGGAGCTCACCACTGGCTTGGACCCTCACTGCAGCTGGGTGGTTGGTCCATTGGGGCTATTGCAGCATGGGCCCCATCTCTGTCTCCTCTGCCCCAAGAGCATGTGCAGTTTACAGCACCACCAAAACATTTTTTTTTTGTTTCTTATCCCCATCCAGACATGCAGAAAGTGAAAATAACACCTTACCTACTGAAAACACACAAATCTGCTACCAGATTGCTTGCTTGGCCCGCGACTGATGCTCATCCGAGGATGACCCTAGGTGTCTCACAAAACAAATTGCCCTTTTTTTGTATTTTTTTTACATTCCAAACTTCATTTCCTCATCGAAAGTGCAAAACCCTTTTCTGAAATGAATTACAATTTTCCTTTTTTCAGACAGAAAAAAAAAAAAAGGTAAGACCTGCAAGCTCATTAGTTGTTGGTTAAATATAACCTATTTAATATTCAGCCAGTAATGAATCTGTAACATCTTAAAATAACAACAGCTTTCACCTGTAAAGTGTACAGGACAAGGACTTTCAACTATGTGTGTTTCTGTCCCACACAGGAAGGTGAACAAGAACAGTCCACGTGCTCACTTGTTATACTACTTCAGATTCAGGAATTATTTGCCTTCTCAATTAAACCCATTTGATAATCACCTAAAATCTAAATTAAATTGATGAGACAGATCTCATTGTGTGTTTTCATTAAAAGATACATGCTATAATGCGCAAATAGCTCAGACTCTCCCTCTTTCTTAGGTTGGCCGCAGGCTTATTTCTATATCCCAAATCTAAACTTGGAATCGTATGTCATTAATGGGGAGAAGCTGCAGTAAAGTGGCACTTTGCAAATATTAATGTGCCTCAGTCTTGTAAGAACTTTGGCTGGGATTTAGGGCATAGGAGCGATTCACTCAGCACTGAAATGCAGGCACCTCTGTGAAAGCAGCTGCTGCAAAGCAACAGCCCCTAAGTCAGGGAAATGGCAGAAGGCCACCTGCTCCTTTGGCTTTGCCACAGAAGGAATTAGAGTCAGAAGAAATTACGATTAGCATCTCTTAGGCTTGCAGAAAGTGTCTGATGGCCCCCCGTGCTCGCTGCCCAGCAGCAGGACACCCTCCCGATGACCGAAGCATACCTGTGCTGGGGCTGGTTACTGACACTGCCTCCTAACAATGTGTTAATTGAGAAGCTGTCTGTCCTCAAAAGTTTTCTTGTATTTAGCTTTACAAATTCTGGGCCACAGCGCAAGATAATTTGTCTGCATCTCGCATTGTAAAATGAGAGCGTGCTGCATGCAAACCGCATAATCTCCTACCATTTGCAGATTTAACTTCAGATATGCCATTCAGAAGTTATAATGTATATGCACTCACCATGCATGCATACTGATATGTACATATGCCATGCTTTAAAACTGCAGCAGTGTATGCTTTCAGAAAGCTCACATTTGCCAGCTCCATATACGCACTTAGAAGTAATGTTTTGGTCTCATTAAGACAATAATTGAGACCCAGACTGTGTCATGCATAAAGTTCTGTCACGGAATTTTTCCTCATGGATTTAAAATGAGGAATCCTCATGAATCACGTTCTAATTTTCCAGGCAAATGTTATGGTGGTGGGTTTCATTCCTGCAGTCTTACACAAGGCCAAAGAAATGCAGAGGTTGTCTGGGTATGCACTCATCTCCGCTAAATTAAAGATGTGTTTTATCACAAGTTAGTTAAAACAGTGAAACCCACAGACAGAGGGTCTTTAGCAGGTCTCTGAACGGTGGATACTAACTTAGAATTTACTTCTGCTTTGAAGTAATGTAGACATATAAAATACATCAGGTTTAAAGAAAACCAAGGGGCTGTATTAAAATGTTTTAGTAGCTTTAGAGAGAAGAATGTAACTCTATTTCTAAACAAGACCTTGAAGGGAAACAGATCTGGGGGCTTAAATGCATAGACAAAACAAATCTGTGCTTTTGCTAAAAATCACACTTTCCAGAGCTTAGTGCAGCAGAGGCATTAAGGCATGTGCTCTGTGTTGCAAAGAACGTCCAGGCACACAGTTGCAAATACAGCTCCTGTATAAAATAAAGTTTTCTGGCCTAAAGCAAAGGTGGCCTGAAAGGGATATCCAGCTTTCCAGCTGGCATTTATGACAGCAGATAGACTCTCTTGCCAAATTCTGTCATTTTATCACATTCTGCAAACTTTGTGATGCTTTTCTCAAACCTCTACCTAAATAATCTAAACTTCTATCTTCTGAAAAGCCGTCCTATAATTGCAAATATACTCTAAAATCTTGGAACTCTGAAGAAAGTGCTAATAAAATACCTAGATTCTGGGAAAATTCAGTACTAGAATTTTCCTATTTTAGCCAAATAATACACTCTGCTCCAGACCTGCAGTTTGTGAAACCCCATTAAATTGTAAACTCCTACCAATTTGGAAAGAATACCACTGACTTCAAGCATTCTGACACAGTATAAATACAAGTTTACACACTAATCAAGAAGGGATTTCAGCCTCAAATTTCCTTCATGGGAAGTCTAAGGCAACTTTGCAGTTATTTTTTATGGAAGAAACTTTATCATTAGTGGAAAATTTGAATTCTGAGGAATAAGAGCATCTGGAATATTAAGCAAAAATTAAAGTGCCAGCTTCAGGCACAGGCAGCCAAAAATCATCATAACGCAGTTGCCAAAATCAGTGCACCTGATTTACTCGTGGATTAACGGGGAAGCTTTGACAAACAGAAGTTTCCTCACGCTATTTACACAGAAATGAGAATGCCATTAGCCAAGTGCAGCAAACACCAGGACTGCTTGCCCGTGTAAACGGGAGCCCACAGGCGCGCATCGGCACATGAAATCAAACATTTACAGACCCAGGTGGAGCTAACCGAACCAGCTCACCCTCCAGCTGATAACCGGAGGGATGGGAACGCGTCCGTTGCACTGCATTCCTGGAGCAAGCCTCGGACAGCTGTAATAAAGGCACTATATAGCAGAAAGCATTATCGCTTAATTTGATCTATAGCAGAAACTGAAACCAGGCTACCGTGTTGCAACCCCGTAAAAACCTACCCCACAAGTCAGGTTATTGTTTAACTTTGCTGTGAAAGAAACTCAGGCTCCCGTTTGTCTATGTATTCCTTAACGGTGCAGCCCCAAGCCCAAGTTCTCCCACACTTCCCAGGCTGGAAGTGCTGCTGGGAAGACCAAGAGCTGCGATGAAGTGGTGGGGCCAAAGCTGATAGATGCTGATCGGAGGAGCCCTGCCTGCTGGAGCCCCGCAGACGGTGGCAGGAGCAAAGCCCTGCTCTGCCCGGCACGCGCAGGTGCTGCCCCACGTCCGAGGGCTCCCGGAGCAGCACGTGCTTGCTCAGCTGCAGCTGGGAGCCTTGCAGCTCACTCAACCCAACAGCACATCTCTCCCCATCCGCCAGACCCTCTGCGGCATCTGGAATTAGCCCGAGGCAGCAAGACGCGATCGGCGTCGACGCTGTAAGGACCAAGCGAGGCATGAGGAGCGCGAGTACCCCGCGGGCTGGCAGCACGCGGCGGGGCCGCTCCGCTGCAGCTCCTCACTCTGGATTTACGCTGGTAAAAATAGAGAACAGCACGCATTCCCAGAAATGTTATCTTTTCCTGGAACACCAATGTTATCTGCACCTAGATTTTTTTTTTCAATGTTGTTTGTGAAGGATTCTGGATTCCTGGAGAGTTGTGTAATGTTTTTTCCATGGTTTCAAAAACATATTTTTACTATGATGAGCAAGAAATAGTGTGAGAGTCAAGGCTTAGACAGTTTCAGGATGGTCACACCACCTGTTCTCATATAGCCTCTTCCTATGGAGAACTAACACATTCATTAGAAAGTCACCATAGCAAAGCTATTCCTAGAGGGATGAAAGCTTGCTCAGAAAGAGTTACTTTGCTTTATGAGATGTGGATACCCTGATGAAAATCACTTTTGATGGCACAAGATAGAACTTAATATGAGCAGACATTCCTTTGGCTGCACCCTAGCACCCTGTCCTCTCACTGCCAAGTACTTCCCTGCAGCATCTCTATACAGAAAGGAAATAACAGAGGCATCCACAGAAAGGGAAAAAATAAGAGAGAAAAAACACACACATAGCAGGCTCCTATTTGCCATTTGAGTTTCACTTTGTGGCTATAACAGATACATCCACCTTTTCCTCTCATGGTGTGGACTTTTAAAGATACACTAATCTCTCACATGCAATGTCTAGAAGAGCAAGACCTTGACAGGGCCCTGCTATCATAAATTTAAGGAGTAGTGGACTATTGCAACCAAACCCTTCACTTGCTAAATCTGCAAACCCCTTGCAGATTAACCAAGAGAGCAGCACGGAGCATTTACTAGTCGCCAAGGTAGCTGTCCCAACTTCTATATCCTGGGGGGATGCCTACAAACACATACAGGTAGAACAGCACAGACATAGCAATGTATATATAAGCACATATACGCAGGCACTGCTAGGAATACCCCTCTCTTAGCTTTTTTTCCCCCAATAGATGCTGGAGCATTAAAGGCATTTATCGCAACCTGGAGTGTTACCACAACAAAACTCACTTGCCTTGGACATGCGTGGGTTTCCCACCCCACAGCCCCCATGCACCTAGGACAGAGGGAATAGGGACGAGTGGCTCCCACAGAATGGAGATGGCATTCCCCAAGGATGTCGCCCGAGGGCAAGGGACCCTCGGGGCCACCTCTCCCCGGGGCATCTCCCTTCCGAGGATGCCCCGAGCTCACAGCATCCCCTTCCCCTCCGCGGTGCTGGCCCCGCCGGGACCAGGAGCGAGACCAGGAGCGGGTCCGGGAGCGGGACCGGGATCTCACTCACCGTGTGCCGAGGCCGTGCACGGCGCGGGCACCCAGCGCAGGCAGAGGCAGAGAGCCGCCAGCAGCGCCGCCCGCCCCATGTCGCCTCCCCGGCTCCCC